TGCATATTTTAGGACAGAGTTCTCGTCTTAAGACCCACACCATTCCACGGTACCCTGGGAAAAGATCATGGGCAGGCAGACTAACAGAAACTTACTGTCATGGCTCTCGCATTGTACGCGTGCTCTGTCCTTCCTTACGCCTTCCTCTTTTAAAAATGGCTTTTAAAACATACATGGGAATCCTACCTCTTTTGTCTTCAACACAGAAACACCCGCAGCCGCCTGCACTAGCCACTGCAAAATGCAATTAAAATCATACCGTCCCCGCCCCAGAAAGCTTTGCCTGTGGAGGCCCACAGTACAGACCTGGATTTATAGAGTCGTTTCTCCAGCCCCGGGGGGTAGGGGCTGGCTGCAGGCAGAGGGATCTCCATGTTCTCACTGGGCCCTGTTTCCATGGGGTCCACTTGGAATTGCTCTGCCATCTCCACGCTCACATCCATCGGCACACTGGCACCCAGCTTCGCGGGAGAGCTCACATGCTTGGGGCCACTGCAAAGAGAAAATTTTACATCCTTACTCAGCAGCTGCCACGTAAACGCAGAGCAAAGGACATGAAAGGCATTTCTCAATGGAACAGGTCAAGTCCAGCTTGGGTGAGTTACTGCACGGAGGCAGAGATTTGGCTGCACAAAGGCTGCTGGAGAGCTGCACGATAGGCTGCTATGGGTTTCTATTTAAGTATGGAGAGTTGCTGCATTACAGCACACAGCTTTGTCCCCAGGTTCTTTTCTTCAGTCCATAAAGCACAACCCATTCAACGGGCTTGATTCCCCCAGAGGACTGTCCTTTAGCTGACCTACTGATGCCACGCCGCAGCCAAAGGTGACCGTTAGCTTTTCATCCCCGGCTGAGGGGTCGGCAGCATTTGGGGTTGGCAGTTTCTTCCCTAAATGCCAGGCCACTTTACTAGTAGATAGCTGGGCCTGCTTGCGAAGTCGTTTGCCAGCTTTTCCCTTTTCAGTCTGGCACACCCTGAAGCGTTTGGAGCAGAACACATTTCACCTTTCATTGCCAAACTTGCCCTAAGACCGTTACACTGTGACGAGATGGCAGTGACAGCCTCCCAGGTCCCCTCACTGCTTCTGTAATCAGCCGCTTCCACGTCCAGAGCTGCCTTACGTCACTTCTAACCACGGACACAGAAGGCAAAGGCGCTCTGGAGACCTCTAGTCTGAGCAGACAGGGAGATCTTCCGAGCAGAGGGTTGGATTAGAGGGTTCACATCACAGCTAGACCAGGCTACCCAACCAAGCCACAGACCCAGTCCCCCGTACCTTCGGGCACCCACCCCAGGGCCACACTACCCTGCCAAGCAAGAAATTTCCTCTCCATCCCATCGCCCAGGTCTGAAGATGTCAAACAACATCAGTCCTTGCATTAATCCCTGTGGCGAAAGCAGTGCTTGAAATGAGCGGCCAGCTGAGAAAGCTGTTTGCCAAACTTACGAAGCTTCCCTCTGCTCTACCTGTGCTTTTGGGGAATGGGAATATTGCAAAGGGTTGGAGAGCAAAGCAGGGCATGTGCGCAAAGCAACGCAGAGAGATGCTGGGCTTTGTCTTTACACCTGAGATGGCACGAAGGGAGCAGAGCCTGGAGCCACACCAGGAAAGAAGTAAGATGTGCTTCAACACTAAGATAAAGCAAAGCGTTGCCACAGAAAGACTTGTCAGTCTACCTGTTCTTACAAGCAGCAGCAAATAGAATTTCTGAGCCTCTTGGCATATAACCTTGCTTACTCTGGAAAGGGAGCGAGACAGCAGAGAGGCACATCACCTCTAAAGGGGAAACCGCTTGTGCTACTGCAGTTCTGCAGTTACCTTTTCACTTTCTTTGGTCTATCAAACCGGAAGTCAGCAGGATAGAGGTGAACGGTGACCAAGTGACCCTTTCTGTCCTTGCTGCTCTTGAACTTCTCTGCACAGCCTTCTACCAAACACTTGTACTGAAAGGCAGGGGGAAAACAACAAGGCAAAGGAAAAAGGCAAGCGGTGTCAGCTAGGGACACGGGTGCCCCCCCGAAACGGTCAGTCTCGAAGGACGCCAGCCCATGCTGTGCACACCAGCCCCGAGCAAAGGGCTGCGCGCAGCGGCTCACCATGTTTTGCTTCTCAGCCATTATCTGGAAGAGTGAGTCGTGCCACTCCGAGATGTGAATATCCAAGAGATGCCCGGATGGAAAGGAGCGCTTGCAGAAGGAGCAGACGTTCCTGTGCAGTGTGTTGTAGTGGTGCTCGTAGCCCTCCAGCGTATCAAAGACCTGGCAGCACCCCGAGATGTGGCAGCTGAATTCTGACACCCTGCAGGAAAATGAGGACATCCGTGACGTAAATTAAATTACGGATTACGGCCTTAATTTAAGCTGCTCTAGATGACTTTATTTACCCGTGGCTTTTTTTTCTGAATAATACTCAAATTAAATGAAAGGTGCAAAGGAATGAAGATTACGATAGTACTGGCAGCTGGAAACTCTTGCTTGCCATTAGGGCTTGAGCACTGTGTATGTTACTGTCCCCTGAAGCGCTGCTTTGATTAAAAACACAAAGCTGCAACGTGAGAAATAAACTGTTGGACCTTAAAGTTGCAGCTGCGGATTAAAATTTTTGCCGACCCTGTTTGACAGGCGTCTGCAGGATAAGCTCACACAATCTGAGCCCAAAGCACCTCCCCAGTGTCACGTCCGAGAGCAGGTTTTAAGGCAAGATGAGGATGCTCCCCCAGGCTTAGCCCTCCTAACTGGGGCCGCCGGCACCTCGCGGCTCTCCCACTGTTTTGGCTGGGTAGGTGACAGCCTGCC